TAACCATATTAATTTATGCATTTAAACTTCTTATCTTTTTAATAAAATGAAACATTGAGATTATATAATATGGAATAATATCGTTGTGTTGTATCGTTAAAATGATAAAAACATTGATTAAATTTTAATTTAATTGGTATAACTACCATTATAATATTTGAAAGGATGTGTATTTAAAATATGTATTATAATTTGAATTAAAGGTTTTAAAAGTTTGAATAGTTTAACCATTATATTTGAAAAAGAATAAAAAGATAAAAAATTAACAAATTCAAGAATTAATAAGTTGTGGACTAAATATGTAAAGTTTTTGAATTCAAAAGCTAAAAGAGATTAATTTTCGATTACAATTATAATATTTATACACGTTAAGTTCTTAAAATTTTATTTTTCAAATTGAATATTAAACGATGAATTTAATTATATTTCAATTACAAGCGTATGACCTATCTAATTAAATTTATACGATCGATATATATTAACTATGCAATCAATGGATCCATCTTAACCTCCAATAACACTTCTACACTACTATATATTTACATATATTTATAACATACTCATACTACTCATAATTATCGTCATGTTATCCGCATATCTTTCTATAGAGTTATGCGGGAACTTCTTGATATGTAGTTGAAGTTTTATGTTTTGTCTTGCGTTATTCTAAGCCGAATTAAGCTTGTATGTGTCCTAGGACGGATGCACCAAAGTCCACTAGGGATCAAGTGCATCTTCAATATTTTAAAAAAATGTTAAATTTACTTTAATGTGTTAAGGAAAAAGAAAACAATTAAAAAAATTGCATACCCATTATTTAAAAAAAATGAATATTAAAAATATGAATCCATATTCTTAAATTTCTAGATTCGTCATTGTATGTGTCTATATTGTGCTTATTTGAACTGGTATCTTCCTTGGATAATGCTCTTCATTTATCTCATACCATCCTTTACTTAGTACAATGCTTGCATATTAATTTTATGTTTTTCTTGTGTGCCCATGGTTGATTCTCACCTTCAATCACATCTTACTACTATTTTCATGTAAGGTACTCCGCTAGACTTAGGGGTAGATTCCTTCCATATACTAGTCTATTTCACGGCTCAGAGTTTAAATATAATTTTACATGTATGAATTTTCTTATCATGATTAGTTTTTTTGGTTGTTAGTTTACGCACATCGCACCAATGTTGATATACAATTGTTAATGTAACAATTAATGATGGTTCAAACAATGAGAAATATGAAAGTTTAGCTGACCGATAGTGATTTATCTCCTTTGATTTAGGTGAGGAGTCACTAGTCGGTCTAAGTGTAAATGAGACAGAAGTCGATTTAGAGAGATAAAAATAGTCTTCTTTTTATCTTTAATATGTCATGTTACGTATTTTGAATGTTCGATGATAACATATTGATCATCCGTTCATAAGATGATGTTGTAACTAGCAACTCACAAATAGTGCAGAGAATTGACAAAGAAAATTTAGATAGAAGAGAGAGTCTTATAGATTGGAAAGGAAAATATCAATAGTTTTTTCATGCCTCCACTATTTACAAAGTATTCTGTTTTATTAACTGAACATTTAGAACCTTGCAAAATCCGTTAGTGCCTTTAGGGCCCTCCTCTCTCTTCGACCTTTGCGCAATTCTTGGACCTCCTCAACTGAATGTTGCAGCTCACCATTTCCTTCCAGCTCAGCAGTATCTTTCATAGGAATGGGCATAGAATCCGAATCCGACCCTATCTGATTGGATTTTTTTTTATAAAAAAATTGGTATTGAGTCGGGTAGGGTCGAGTTTTTTTTAAATGTTATGTTCAGGTCGGGTCGGATTCGAGTTTAGGATGAAAAATACCCGACCAGAGAAAAATTATAACTTTATCTTATATATTTAAGAATAATTACGATAATATCTTTCTATATATTATTATTTTTAATTAACTCACTATTTTTATTAAATAAAAAAAATATTTTTTTATTATTTCGGGTCGGGTAAGATCGGATTCAGATTTTATCTCAAAAAATCGGGTCGGAATCGGGTCGGGTCGGGTGAAGGATGTCAAATTTTTTAGTCGGGTAAGGTTGACCGAAACCTGACCTATACCTATCCCTAATCTTCATATTAGATTCAAATGGGGACTCAACAGTATCGATCATACAGATGAGATATAATATTTAGAAATATAAATTTAAATTATTATACGTTATGAGAAAATGATATGTTATATATAATAAATGATTTTAAAACGAAACTCGTATGAAGTTACAAAAGGTATAACACTAACATAAATTATTACAATATTAAAGTGTAGTCATCCTTTTTCTTACAAGAACAATTTATGTTCATAAAATTATTACATTAAAACTAAACTTTTTCATTGAAAAGATGGCACAAAAACTTAGGATGAAAATGTAGTCATCCTTTATATATTTCCATGATTGGAATATTCCGTTTGATTTTGGTAGGAGGACAATAATTTTTTTAAATTAACAGTTGAAATAAAAATTAATTATGCAGTTTAATTATCTTTTAACATTTTTAAAATATAGATTACAGATTAATTTATTCCTATAAATACTTTAGTGTCAAAAAATATTATTTATAAAATAAAATAAATACTAACATGAGATTACGTGGAAATCATAAACTCTTTTATGCACCTGGTAATGGTATTGTTAGAATCTTATTATTTATAAAAATAAAATATTTAATCTTCCAATTGGTCTGCACTCTGCACAGTGAAGTGGAAGACTCTCTCTCTCTTCTCCGTTTAACAGTGGGGAAGAAGCCAAAGCCCAATAACGATGAGCCAATGAGAACCCTTTGAACGTATAAAAAAAATAAGTTAAAATAATAAAAAAGATAAATACATGATCATCTAACTATAAGATACTATTTTATAAAGTCTATCGATTATTAAAAGTTATAAAATAATTTCTTAATTATTAAGAGTTGATTTGTGAAGTCTCTCAACTATTAAAAGTTATAAAATTGTCACTCGACTATTTATTATGTTTCAAATTATTTTCATTAAAATATTAAAGATCGTTTGAGCTAGACCTTAACATGTTGATTAAGATATGATATCAAATTTTATCATATCTTATTAATCAAGTTAACGTTCAACTCAGGCTGCCATTAATTTTTTTTCTAAAAAAGAATAGAGTTTGAGCATATTAAATAGTTAGGTGATCATTTTATAACTTTTAATAATCGATGATCTCAACAAAGTAACTCCATATAATTAAGAGATTATTTTGTAATTTTTAATAATTAAGAAATCAAAAAATATTATCTTACAGTCAGGAGACTATCTTTGTACTTTACCCTTAAAATAACTCTCAAAAGCAAAAAAAAAAAAAACATACACACGCATTAACAAAACACTACTGTCCCCGCCTTTTTATTGGGTTTGTGAAGTTCTCATGGCGTAAAGCAAAGCTCTGGTTTTTGGTGATTGAGTCCTCAGGAAGATAGAAAAACATTTTTCAGAGGTTAGGGACGATTCGGGTCATTTCCGAAATGGTGACTTAGAATCTGGCTGAGTGGAACTGGTAACTCGGTCCAAGGAGAAAGCCTTTTTTATTTTGATCTTTTTAGCTGTGTTTGGAGGGGGAGAAAAATGGTTGGTTGAATCAGATCAGTATTTTTATGTAATAGGAAGCTCTGATCTCGAAAGATATTACGAGATTTTTTTCTTGGTGTTTGGGGCTGTCCTGAGAATAGTGCTAAAAAAAGCAAGGTCCAAGGTTTTCTCTATCCCCAATCAGGGTATCGTTTCCTTTGTCTGGGTGTTTATCCTTCTCTCTTATCTTTCCTTAACATTTCACTAGCTAGGGTTAAAGAATCCATATCTGTATTACTTCATGTACTGATGATGAAAACTTAGTAGAATCTAACCCCCTCTCATTTCTGTCACTTTCATTTTCAAGCTATGAAGTAACTCAAAGAAGATAGAGAGACCAACAACTATAAAACCCTTCATTTTTCCTTGGTTCTTTTTGGTTGGTTTATGTGACATTTGCAAACTTTGGTTCAGTTTAGTATATTCGTTCAGTTTCGTTGTAGTTTGAAAGAATCCATTGCAGAAGAGACTTTAGCAGAGTTTCTTTCAAAGGCCACTGGAACTGCTGTTGAGTGGGTCCAAATGCCTGGAATGAAGGTAACTTGTTGTTTTGTTGTTGAAAATTACTAATCTTTTTGACTAGGTTAGAATGTAAAATTATGACATAGAAGTATAACCACAAATTATGACATAGAAGTATGACATAGAATGTAAAATTAAGCAGAAACTTTTGACTTTTAAACCCTTGTCATCATCCTTTTTTTTTTACTTGAACAGCCTGGTCCGAATTCCATAGGAATCGTTGCTATCACTCATGGTTGCACAGGAGTGGCAGCACGTGCTTGCGGCCTTGTGGGTCTTGAACCTTCAAGGGTAAGTCTACTTTGTTTTTGTAGCCTACTGCAGCTTCATCATTTTGAATCTGAAGTTTGTATTTCAATTACTATGTCCCTTTCAGGTTGCGGAACTCCTCAAGGATAGGCTTTCATGGTTCCACGATTGCCGAGCTGTAGATGTTCTAAATGTGCTGCCTACTGCCAATGGTGGAACCATTGAGCTGCTGTACATGCAGGTCAGTGCTCTTTAACGTGTTGTAGTTGTCAGACTTTTATGCTGAATTTTTATTGAATTCTTTGAATTGCTGATGGTTTGTAAAGCTGTATGCACCAACAACTTTGGCACCTGCTCGCGACTTCTGGTTTTTGCATTACACTTCTGCTCTAGAAGATGGAAGCCTTGTGGTATGTGGTTTAAGAACTATTCCGATTTTTGGTTCATCATGTGCCCAAATATGCTTTAGCGGCTTCATGTTGGATATTAGACATTAAATTACGCGTATGCACATCCTTTTAATCTTATCAATGAAGCTTGTTTTCATTGTGGTTTTCAACAATGGCTAGGTCTGTGAGAGGTCCCTAAAAAAATACTCAAAATGGGCCTACAATGCCAACGGTGCAGCATTTTGTTAGAGCTGAAATGTTCTCAAGTGGTTCAATCATACACATTGTTGATCATATGGATTTGGAGGTATAACTGTTGTCTGTAACCCGCCTTCAACGGTTTTAAACTCCGTCTTCAACGGTTTTAAACCATATGACATGTATACTTATTTTGGATTGTTTATTGCCAACCAGACATGGGGTGTGCCAGAAGTGTTGCGCCCGCTTTATGAATCATCAACAATTCTCGCTCAAAAGACAAATTGTTTGTTCTGTTAGCATATTAATTGTTGCTGCCTTTTTATTTTTTTGTTCCCATCACAAGCATATGAAATTGTATAGAGGAAGGCTCTTCTACTTAAGTTCCTAGGGTTGTAGGTTTTATAAAAGAAATGGCATCTAAGTTCTGATTTTCTTTTAGGCTCTACGACAACTGAGGCAGATAGCTCATGAAGTTTCTCAGTCTAATTCAACTGGTTGGGGTTGTCGACCAGCAGCCTTTCGTGCAATTAGCCAGAGGTTAAGCAGGTTAGTTTCCAAGTATATATTGTCATGTGCTTTATGTCTGCTAAAATTCATATGCTATTTATAATTTGGTGGATGATTCCTTACAGGAGTTTTAATGAGGCTGTCAACGGTTTCACTGATGAGGGGTGGTCAATGATGGAAAATGATGGCATCGATGACATTACTATCCTCGTAAATTCATCTCCTGACAAGCTGATGAGCCTCAACCTTTCCTTTGCAAATGGGTTTTCATTTGACAGCAATACGGTCTTATGTGCAAAGGCATCAATGCTCTTACAGGTTGGGATGCTTCCAATGTTTAAGTCTTCATGGCTAATGGGAGCGGTTTTGCGAAGTATATGACATGGTTTACATATTGTTCATAGCTTATGTTTTCTTGTGTTCGTGTTGTGGCTACGATGCCATTATACTTACTGTTACATGATGTTATTCCAATGTTTGTTATCTTCTTCATGCTTGTTAATATTGCTTTTCGCTAGCTCAAGGGGACTGAATTTTTAAGCATGATATTTTCTGAATGTTATTCTATAACATCTGCATAGTTGCAAATCATTTTATCATATCTAGTCTTTATATGATTCATGATTTTTTTTCCTTTTCCACCGTTGTTTCCCTTTTAGAACATACCACCCGCAGTTCTTCTCCGTTTTCTACGGGAACACAGATCAAAATGGGCAGACACTAGCATTGATGCCTACTCTGCTGCAGCTATTAAAGTTGGTCCGTGTAGCTTACCAGGGTCTCAATTAGGAGGTTTCGGTGGTCAAGTCATACTTCCGCTGGTGCATACCATCGAGCACGAAGAGGTAAGTACCAAGTTTTATTTCACTTAAAAGAATTGTGTGATGTTATCATACTATTAGTTTCAACTTTCAATTTTATTAACATTTGCAAATTCTTTTAATGTTATTTTTAGTGCTTAGAGGTCATTAAGTTGGAGGGGATTACACATTGTCCTGAAGATGCAATAATGCCAAGAGATATTTTTCTCTTGCAAGTAAGAATTCTTATATTTACTTTACTCTCTTATAGTCATTTGGAGTGCAAAAAACCTTTCGTAGATCTTCTTCTTCGTTTTGGATTGTCTTCTTGCTTAATTTTCCGTGGTATTGTTTTATAGCTACGCAGTGGAATGGATGAAAATGCCATGGGCACCTGTGCTGAGCTTATATTTGCTCTAACTGATGCTTCTTTTGCTGATGATGCACCTCTTTTGCCTTCTGGTTTTCGCATCATTCCTCTTGGTTTTGGGAAGGTTGGCATTTTCATGTTAAAAAATGGTATTTTTTTTGCTAATTTTCCAGCCTTCTTTTTTTGTGTGAGTTCCTTATTTTGCACCGGAAACTGATACAGGAAGCCTCTAGTCCAAATCGCACTCTTGACTTTGCTTCGGCCCTTGAGATTGGACAAGCTGGAACTAAAGCATCTAATGAATACTCCGCTAATTCTGGCTGTATGAGATCTGTGATGACCATAGCGTTTCAATTTGTCTTTGAGAGTCACATGCAAGAACACGTAGCATCCATGGCCCAACAGTATGCCCGCAGCATTGTATCTTCAGTTCAGAGGTTCGCATTAGCACTTTCTCCATCTAATTTAGGCTTCCATGCTGGTCTCCGAACCCCGCTGGGTACTCCCGAAGCAGACACTTGCTCATTGGATCTGCCAGAGTTATAGGTACACTAGCCAATGCTTTCCTTTCCAGATGGATTTAACATGATCTAAATACCAGAAAACTCAGTCTTCAATGCTTGTATGCTTTGTAATGATATATTCGAGAATCTGACTTTCCGTTACTGTATTTTGAACTGTGGATGACGTGTCTCCAATTTTGCAGGGCCTACATGGGTGATGAGCTGCTGAAATCTAGTGGTGAAGGGAGTGAATCCATCCTCAAGACATTGTGGCATCACGCTGATGCTATAATGTGCTGCTCTCTAAAGGTATGTGTGAAACATGATTTTCTACTGGAAATGTAGCTTGACATCCAAGGGTAAGAAAACAAAACCAGAGGTCGGATCGGCGTGTTGGACCTCCAGTTTTCGGTCTAAGCGACGGGATCATTTAAACAACCCCAGTTTGCAGGGACTGCCCCTTTTTACGTTTGCAAATCAGGATGGACTCGACATGCTGGAAACAACCCTGGTTGCTCTGCAGCAGATTACTCTGGAGAAAATATTTGATGATCACGGACGTAAAACTCTGTGCACCGAGTTCCCAGAGATAATGCAACAGGTCTACCATTTTATCTCGATCTCAAACTACGGAAATGACATCTCCGAATACAATAACCGATGATTGAATATGAAACGAATGGTGTGTTTTTTGTGGTTGTAGGGTTTGGTTGTCTACAAGGTGGGATATGCATGTCGAGCATGGGAAGACCGGTTTCATACGAGAGAGCGGTGGCTTGGAAGGTGTTGAATGAAGAAGAAAATGCTCATTGCATCTGCTTTATGTTCATCAACTGGTCTTTTGTCTGAAGTTTAAGATCAGAAAATAGCTGTAAGAACTGAAGTTTCTTATATTTTGTTGACATGTTTCAATTCCGTACTTGAAAGACCCCTTACTATGTTACTCGAAACTTATGGTACAATGTTTCTCTTTATATTTATAGGCAAGATATACATATACATATCATATAAAATTATAATTTTATATAAATTAAATTTTAATTGAAAAAAATGAATGGTTGATGTTACAAGTAATAAATAAGAAGATTTTTAGGGGAAAATATTATCTTTAATTTAAAATTTTTAACTTAAATCCAATGATAAAAAGATGAGATGACTGTCCCTTTTTCCCATATGTATGGGGTAGGGGGAGGTAAGATAGTAGGCTACTCCCAACATCAGGTTGAGAGCAACTTCCGTAAGAGACCTCCGAATTATGAAATGCCCTTCGTGGGACTCGATCTCACGACTTCAAGGTTAAGAACATTGTGCTCTACAAACTGAGCTGGATGGTCATTTCTTTAAATCCAATGATAAAAAACGTATAAAATTTGTGTAAATTAATCGTAACTTGTATATATTTTTGAATAGTTTGAGGTGATTACAATTTACAAGGTAGTATATGTTTATAATCTTTCTTAATCATTGATAATGCACACTTCGTACAATGCGCCAGACACACCTACTCAAGAAACTATATTTCCTTTAACAACGATGTCACTTAGTGAATTCCATCCTAACTTATATATAATTAATAATAATAATAAAAGAAATCAACCAGGGTTAGAAAAATAATACGTAGCTCCCATACTATTGATATTCAAAAAATTACTAATAAATTATTGATACATATACAATATCTGGGGATACATGATTTACTCTAAAGCAAGATTAGAAAGCAAATCAACCAGGGTTAGAAAAATAATGTACTCCTTGAGTTGATTTTCATGTATAAAACATAGTTGGGATCCAACCCAAAAAAACTCCATCACTGTCATGGTGATGAGTACAAGGCTCGACCCATAGAAGAAGAAGATAGTCCAAGGCAAAATAACAATGAGCAAATTATAGATATGATTATCATCAGTTTGCAAACCTGAGATCCTTCATCTCTCTCACGATTGCCGGAATGCAACTGGAACTCCTAGTAATCCCACCTTTGTTTTGAGCTCCTCGATTATCCCTATGGCTAAAAGTCTTAGCCCTAAGACTTTTCCCTTCGGGTCTCGATCCTTTCCTCAGTATCTCCCTCATGGCTTCTGCCGTCAAGAGCGCCGGATAAGCTCTTCCGAACTTGTTGAACTTGGCACACCTGTTCATATGTGCACCTAGTGCTTCCTCTATCTTGTTTTTATGATCCCCTCCTATTTTCTCCATCTCTTCTTTCACCGCCTCGGAACATAGTCCACATATCCATTTCCCCATGTGTTTGTTCCGGACTCGCTCGATGTACTCCGGTGTACACTCTTCGCTCATCCCGCAACACTCGCACTTTGCGTCTTCGACTTCGGATATCGGCGGCAGCTGGTTCTCATCATCTCCTGCTGGTGGTGGTGCAGCTTTTTTGTAACTCTCGAGCACGTCCTTGGTTAGAAAAGAGATATCCGATACGGTTCGGCTCAGGCTGTCGTTTGAGACTCTTGGTGGCTTGGGGAAGTTAGTGGTTCTGGCGTATGTGCTGGTAACAGCCTCTGCATGCGGTGCCATGTTGAAATTGATATTTAGGAAAACAAGTTAGAATTGGGCTTAGAGGAACCTCCAACGGTGGTGGATTTATATAGAAAGAGGTGGGTCAAGTGGGATGTGGTTCGAGTGAAATAATTAGTGGATGTGTTTGACTCGCAAATCGACTGTCAGCAACTGAATGGGAGAGTTTATGGTAGATTTTCTGGAAATGGATGTCAACTTGTTCATTTAACCTAGAGAGGGAGCATCATTGTCATTTCATGGAAAAAGTTGTGTGTTTCATGTTCACTATCTTCATGAACTAATATGAAACATAAGTTATAACGTAAATAAAAGGGGAATTCACGTGAGAGTCTAAAATAGCCATATGTAGGTTAGGCAGCCAACTACCTCTTCTTTTATTAAAAGGACATGAGGTAGGTTCCATAAGAACTTAACATGTCGACGAAGAGCACCAGCTAGCCACAGGAAGACTGTTTGAACAAAATTAAAAGTGAATTCACATTTATCTTGCAAAAAGGCTTTGGAAACACCCCGTTAACATGAACAAACCAAAAGCCAATTGACACGCCGAACCTAATCATACAATTCAATAACAAATTGGTGTTACTAACCCGTTGGCCCCTCTTGATTTCAACTTAGTCACTTAACAAAAATTATAAAAAATATATATAATTTTATAAAAAGTTAAAATATATATTTAAAAAAAAGGATAAATTAGGGGTGTGTAATATAATCCAATATGATCCTTTGATCTAATCCGAAAATCCGATCTGTTTTTAATTTTTAGATAATTCAAATCGAATATCTAAAAAAATGTTAGATAATCGGATTGGTACGAATCAACTAAATTCTAATTTCAAATTATCTAAAAATATTATAAAAGTTAGGCTTTTAAAATATATATGACCTCTAAACCCAATAAATAATTAACCCACTAACCTAACTAAAATATCTTAACCTTTAATTTGAATTTCTACAAAAATGGTACAATTTCACTTTAATCTCTACAAAAAGTTATAATTTAGTATAATGTAAAAATTACACCCTGGTCCATTCAAAGACTAATAGTTCAATTTAATTCCCTTAAACACAATTTCTGCCAATTCAGGGACATATTTTAGACTCCCCATCCAATGAGTCATGAGTGACCCGTCATCGGTCAACATAATCATCTTTATTCCATCAACAAATACCGATTTCAATATACAAATAATGTAAAATACTTAGGATACGTATAAACTTAAAATTAAATATATTAGACTTCATCAAATCATCCCTGAGAAGGGAAAGGTGAAGACCGAAGACAAGAACAACCTTACAAAGTCAAATATTAGTACGTTCATGATTATGATTATAATATAAAATAAAAGGAAAAGAAGAAAATTGTGTACCAAATTCAGCCACATCCTTTCTTTTATCATTATTTTTTATGCACTTTGCTTTTGATTATTGGCTAAGGAAACTGCTTTATCAAGGCATTTGGACTTGTACCACCCTTTTGTCAAAAACACCCCTCCTACTTTATGAATATATTGTTTAATTATGATAAAGCTGACACTGTTATATATGCCGAAAGCTGGGGATATCAATGGAACAAAAACATATATAGTATGCAGCCGTGCACCTTGGTCCAAAGCCTTTATAAATTGCCACATCTTTTTAACTCATTATTGTACTTTTGTTAATTCGACCAAATATAAAAGCAATAATCTGTTAATTTCGTAAAAAAAAATGTGAACTATATGCAAACCCTTAATTTACATCAACGTTCAACATTGATAGTATTTTCGAGTTAAATGATGATATACATGAACCAAATAATTTTAGTGATTAAAGGGATAGTTGTTATTTTTATAAATCTTGAGTTCGAGTATAATATTTATAAGGGTGTTTGAGCGTGTTGTGTTTATTGTCAAATAATTATGAATCTTTTAAACATATATTATTGTGTAATCACCACACACTAATAAACAAAAGTTAAATGATAACATGAAAAATTCCAAGGTCTTTGTGGTATGACCACTGTCCATTATACATAATAAAGATGTTATGTGTTGATTTAAATTCAGATTAATAATTAATTTAGATTTTAAGTGATTTTAGCACTTAAAAGTCACTTAATAATTAAGTTTATTTTGATAATAATTTTTATGAAATAAAGTTTCTTTATAATCAAGTATTTAACTCTATAAATATAAAATAAATATTTACATTTAGAATTGTGAGAGGAAGAATTATTTGAGAGATGCAATCCCTTTTAAATATTTGTTTAAGATATTAATTTTGTAGAGATGTACACTAAATATATGAAATGTACAAGTTGAAAAATACATGAAAATCTATTTATTTAAACTCTTTGTAATTCTATGTTTAGAATATACTTTTTCTTCTTTTGTCATAAAAATAGACAAGATTAAAAATATTTAAGTTTTACTTTTTACTTATAATTTATTTCATGTTGATATTGTTTTAATTTTTTTCTTATATAGGGTAAAGTACACAGATGATCTCTCGATTATAAGGCATTACTTTGTTGAGTCATCCACTATTAAAGTTATAAAATAGTTCCTCAACTATAGGACATTGCTTTGTTGAGTCATCGACTATTAAAAGTTACAAAAATGATCATTCGACTATTCATATATTTCAAACTCGTCATTTTCTATTAAAAAAATTGATGGTCGTTTGAGTTGGACATTAACCTACTGACTAAGATATGATAAAATTATATCTTAATAATGTTTATTTGCACCTTCATTACTTTAAAGCTTTGGCTCGACAATATAATGTTTCAAACATTGGCTCAATGATATAATGTAAATAGACACTCGATCCACAAAATACACCTCAAACGATTTTCAGTCAACACGTTAACGTCCAACTCAAAAGGTTGTCATTTTTTAATGAAAAATGACGAGTTTGAAACATATGAATAGTCGTGTGATTATTTTATAACTTTAATAATTAGAGGACTCAACAAAGTAATGCCCCATAGTCGAAGGACCGTTTATAACTTTTAATAATCAGATACTCAATAAAACAACACCGTATAATCGAGAACTGTTTGTGTACTTTACCCAACTTTCTAAGAGAAGAAACACAAAAACACTAAATAAGCGAACGAAAATAAAGAAATTTATACCATTCAGACTTAATCTACTACATATGTAAAAAACTAACCGAAAGAACCATTATAATTAAATTCACTGTACAAGCAATGATTTAAACTCAATCTATCCTGTCCCTCACATAAGCATAGAATTCTAGATTTCTTATCATTTCCTAGATTGTTATCTTAATTTTTTCCTAAACTTTAAAATCAAGACCAAGTTAATAGTATTGGTAAATTTGAAGGATCAAATTTATTAATTTATTTAAAATTAAGAATAGTTAATAGGATTTATAAATCTAAAGGTTATGATTAGTATTATATCAACTAAGAATGAGACACCTTATAATTTTGTTAGTCATTCAATGGAGGAGTCACAAAAACAAATTATTTAAGAAAAAAATTCAAAAACGTTTGAGAGGGTAAAGTTCATATATAATTTGATGTCTAAAATAAGAATTATTCAAAATTAGATGACCATGGGACTAGTTTATCAAAAATAAAAGAGTGAGGCAGAAAAGTTTGAGGTTCATAATATGAGCCTTTCCACGCGTTGCTCAAAACAAAATTTCCTTCTATTTTTTTGTTAACATGTAAATTTCCTTCTATTTGAATTCAATTGGACCAAATTCCATTAATGAATATTTTCTCGAATAGCTTAAAATAATATTTGTTTAAAAAATTCCAATCGTCGGTAACGAAGATATATTGTACAAATATAATTATTCAAATCTAAATTTTTTTAAAAGATAACTTTTGTTTTTACTATTAAAACTAACTAATTTATAAACATTTTTTAATATCAAATATTATCTTTTTGTTTAAAATTAAATGATAAATGAACCTTTTAGTTTAACGATTTGGTGATTAGTGAAAATATGTAATTGAATTTTGGTGGCAGGCGGTGGTCTAGCAGCTGGTAAATTCATCAGCCAACATCACATGAACTTGAAATAGGTGAAGAAAAATAGGGCATCTATCCATATATACACACGTGTCATTAATCCCTTCAAAAGAAATACACGTGCCATTAATAGAAAGAGGATAGACATAAATTCTATAAAAGAATAAGTTTGATATCTTTAATGTGTCTTAGATAGAAAAGTGATATTGAAATAGCTTTAGTTCTGTTTAAAAGTTTAATCTAATTTAATTTTAAATATGATTGAATTTATATAATTATTTGATATCAAAACATCAAAAAAGATATAATTTTAAAACTATGTAAGAAAACAGATCAAGTAAGAGGCAACGAATCTTGCTTAGCTGATAGTTTTGAACTGTATTAAAAAAAGTATAATATGTATTTATTCACCAAACTATTCGATTGGTTCTGTTTTGATCATTTAATTATTTTTGTTCAATCAAAATCATCACTAACGTTATATTTTGGTCACCTACTGTTAAAAAATTAATGGTGATAGTAATACGGATGTGTCATCATAAGATAATATCACACCATCATTGAAAAAATAAAAAATGTAGTGCCAATAATTTTATTGATTTTTTAACAGTTTGTGACAAAAATAAATTCAAAACGTAACATTAATGATAATTATGAAAAAGTTAATTAAATGGCTAAAATAAAATTACTCGAATAATTAAATAACTAAATACGTAATTTACCCTAAAAATAACATAAAACTTGAATAGAGCTTAGATTATTGTATTCCCATTTTTAAAGTAGATAAAAGAATAATGTTTGGTTGATTTCCTTTCAACTTCTCTCTTCTCATACCCTATATATATGCCTCTCCTCCCACTCTCCCTTCAATCCAATCAAACACTAAAATCATTTCCTCTCTCAAAGGTCAGAAAATTAGTAACAGCGAAGCTTGAAAAATGGAACAAAATCTTCCAGTGATTACCGAAAGAGTGTGGAGCATTGTAAGGGCAGTTCTTTTCATGATGAGAAAAGGATATCTGTCAAAGAAAAAATTCATGCTTGATCTCAACATGGTTCTCAAACGTGGCAAAATCGCCATTGGCAACCTCATGTTTCACCACCGCCGCCAAGTCTCCTCCTCCTCCTTCACGGCGGTATCTAAGGAGGAGGCAATCCAGGAGTACGAGTTCAGCTGCAGCAACACCCCCAAGCACATCTTCCCTTTCAACCTCAAGAAGAAGAAGAACAACAGCGTTAACAATTACTACCACCAGTTCTTCGCCTGCGTCCACGCGCCTCCAACTCACGAAGACGACAACTTGGCCACCATGAACGCCGTTAAGGCTGTCTTGGATATGCTCAACAACAACGACAGCTACAACAACACGGCTTCACCTATGTTACCGGGGTTCGGACAGACTCCATTGGCCAGACAACTGAGGATAACGGACTCTCCGTTTCCGTTAAGGGATGGCGATGAAGACAACAGCTACGTAGACAAAGCTGCCGAGGATTTCATAAACAGGTTTTACAAGGATTTGAAGCAGCAAAATAAGGGACCGTCCGAGTTATAGATTGATGATTTAGTTTCCTTGTTAATTACTTTTGGGGTTTTTAATTTGGTTGTTCATATAAACAAAATCACAAGAAATTCGATACTATGTAAACAACAGTTTGTGTTGATCAGCATGAAAATTATGTTGTTGTAATATCAATGAAAACTACTCTGCATCACAAGAAATTTGTTTATAGTTATTTTTAGTTACTAACAATTCACTTACACTCTTAAGATATAACTGTTCATATTCAGATACTTGAGAATAACACTATATTTTACTACTAACATACTCGAAGAGCCATTAAGTGTTAATAATATTTAAAAGATCATAAATTCTAATATATTTAAATTAAATTGATTTCATTTCAAAATTTTTTGATGAGTTAGGAATGATTTAAGCATTATAATTTGTTTCAAATACTCATTAATTATTATAATTATAATTGTTTTTTTGATTTTTTATAAATTCTAAATTTTAATTTTAATCATAATCTCATTTAGAGGGAAAAGAAAAGGAGGCTCTACGGGAAGAAGAAAAATGGTTGTAATGAATCTAATACTCATAATCCATCCTCTAAAAGACTATAAAAAATAAAGATGAATAGTTTGATCAACCGACCAAATGTATATACTTATTTTTCGGTCTTGATATATGTAAAATCATATTTGAGATAATTAGATTGGTATAATCATATGTGATATCAAAACCCAAGAAAAAAGTGTCAACATGAGGAACAAGAACAACCTCAAACGCTCTTGATTACTCATAAAAGCAAGAACAAAAATCGTGCAGCAAATTCAGCCACGTTTTTGGTTTTGTTTTGGTTTTGCCAAAACAGACTTTGCCTTTGATTATTGGCTACTTTAATCACGCATTTGGACTTTTATCTGTCTTTTGTCAGAAATACCCCTACTACTTTTCCATTATATTCATAAAGCTGACATTGTACATATACCAAAAGTTGGGGATATTTTGCAGCCGTCCACCTTGTTATTTTTAAAACTCTCTTTGCAGCTTTCACTCATTATTGTACTTTTATTAACACGCTCATTATAAAAAGCAACAATTTGTTAATTTGGTAAAATGTGCAAACCTTTGCATTAATTATAATTTCATTTATTTTTTTATAACTCTTTTATTAACTTCGATGGTATAAAGTTGAAAAAATATTTACATATTTTTCAAAATTTTACATTTTAGGAACTAGTAAAGATAATAACATATAAATTATTTTTGATTTTTTATTATAATTTAGATTTATATATTTTATAAATTTTAATATTAAATAATTAAATAATTTAGAAATGACCATCCAGCTTAGTTGGTAGAGCACAATGTTCTTAACCTTGAGGTCGTGAGATCGAGTCCCACGGAGGGCATTTCATAATTCGGAGGTCTCTTACGGAAGCTGCTCTCAACCTGGTGTTGGGGGTAGCCTACTATCTTACCTCCCCCTTACCCTATACATATGGAAAAAAGGGACAGCCATTTTTTCTTTATCTTATAATATCTTGTGTGAGATGAACATTTATCTTCTTTAAATGTTTTTTATAATAAGTATGAACAGTTAAATCTTAAACCGGACTTTTTCAAAAACAATACTATAAAGTAATCCTAATTTTGAACACTCATCAATTAAAATTATCTCCCTAAATATACGTTGAAAATGTATTAAAATATTTAAAAAATTGTAAAAGTATAAATTATAAGAAATTCAAACACCTCCACCAAACAAGTTTTCAACTCTTTTGTCAATCTAAATTTATAATTATCCACCAAATACATTTTTAATAAAATTAGTCTTGCATTGAAACAATACTGTTCCATCTAAACTAATTTTTGCACTGAAGTAGCGCTCATGGTGTAAGAAATTTTGTGCCTTCAGTGTAGTAATTTAGCATAATTAGTATATTTTATTCAAATTGATTCATTCAATAATGTTTGCATGTTATTCATTATTCTCTTATGGATGGTGTGTCCTTTAATTCTGGAATCGTAAGCAGAGTAATGAATTGGCTTATTAATTATCAAACAATTTAAAATAATATAAATTACAATATTATTTATAATACAAAAGATAGTTTATATTAGTTGATAATTCAAATAAATTTGTATCCCATAAAATTATATTGAGTAAGTAATGCATGAAGAGATGTAGATATATCAATTGAGTGAAATGATAAGAAGTTTAATATTTTTTAAATAAAATTTGAGTAATTTTTAGGGACGAGAAAGATAAAATTTAGAGATTTTTAGTCTTGTATTCTTATGTAAGAGTTAAGTGATGAGAATCATGAAACATTTTGACACTACAAGAATCATGAACACAAATATATATATATATATATATATATATATAGCTTATTAAAAAAATTATTTTCATTTATATAGTTTTTAATATATTATCTAAATAACACAAAAATCCATGCGTCCTTATGTTATGGTAGACCCATTTTTAAAGTAGCAAAGAAAATCAAAGGATTTCCTTATTTTCGTCCTATATATAGCCTTCCCCTTCCTCTCTCCCTTTAACCCAAACAAATAGCAATTCCCTCTATTCTCTCTCTCTCAAAACTCGAGCAAAGCTTAAAAATGGAACAAAGTCTACCAGTGGTTAGCAAAACAATGTGGAGCATTGTGAGGGCACTTCTTTTCATGTTGAGAAAAGGAATTCTGTCAAAGAGAAAGTTGATTGTTGATCTCAACACGGTGCTCAAACGTGGCAAAACCGCCAGCGCCAAGGCCATTGGCAACCTCATGTTCCACCACCACCGCCACCAAGTCTCCTCCTCCTCCTTCACGGCCGTATCTAAGGAGGCGATCCAGGAGTACGAGTTCAGCTGCAGCAACACCCCCAACCACATCTTCCCTTTCAACCTCAAGAAGAAGAACAACAGCATCAATAATTACTACCACCAGTTCTTTGCCTGCGTCCACGCGCCTCCTACTCAAGACGACAACTTGGCCACCATGAACGCCGTTAAGGTTGTCTGGATATGCTCAATAACAACGACAGCTACAACAACACTGCTTCACCTATGTTACCGGGGTTCGGACGGACTCCATTGGCCAGACAACTGAGGATAACGGACTCTCCGTTTCCGTTAAGGGATGGCGATGACGACAACAGCTACGTATACAAAGCTGCCGAGGATTTCATAAACAGGTTTTACAGGGATTTGAAGCAGCAAAACATAAGAGAAAATCATTGAAATGATGAAATTTTCAGTTGTTTTTCTTGTTAGTTTGATACTATGTAAAGAGCTGTTTATGCTCATCATGAAAATTTTGTTGTAACATCAATGAGAATTGAGAAGTACTGTACCTATATGAGAATTTCAAGAATACTTTACTAATACTATATGACAGTTAATATAAAATATTGTGTGAAGATATAATAACTTTTTGTGTTATGAGATTGTATTTTCATTAAATTTTTGCTTCTTCTTTGTAGTATTTTTATTTTAGGGTTTAAGAGTGTTACTGAATCACAACGGATTCCCACTTTTACTTTGGCTTCTTCACTAATAATCTCTCCTTAAGCCAAATTATAAAGCAGTCCGGAAAACGACCCAAAAGAAAGGAAAAGAGAGGGTGGCTGCTCAATTATTGAACACCGCACTTCTTCAATAATAATCTCTCCTTAAGGCAAAGGAGCTTTTTGAATATTCTAGAGATATTATTACTCCTTTTAAATCCAAACAATAATGTAATTCCGTTAGATTTCGAATTCTTATCATACTTTCAAAAATGGACCATCATTTCTCAACATTAAATCAAATTTTGAAACTGATATTTGAAGTTGTGCAACTTGCCTGAAATGATTATGACATAATATCTGTTACACATTTTTTTAATTTATTTACAATGTTTAAACCATGCAGATGTAACTGTTCGAACCCGAATCTTATAAGAAAAATAATATTATTTTTTATCACTAAAATTATTTAACGGATTAGATTATACAATACTTAAATAGATATAAACAATACTGACCCAAATCCGATCAACCATCAATAGCATTATAGATGAATTTACTGAATAACACATGTCATTATCTTATTGAAGATATATATTAGAAACCGGTGTGTTGCCCCCAACGCCTTTCCCCTTTTTTTTCCCTTAAAATTTACATTGCTTTTTTGTGTTTAGTTAAAGTATTGGAAGGCTTTCTTTAAAGTTTGATAGTACATGCTTTTTTAAAAGGGCTTTATTCACATTTTAAAATAATTGAGAAAATTGAGAATGGAACAAAATCTAGTGTTTCATCCACTTTGAAATTAAATTACAAGGATTTCTTTTTTGGTTATAATTTTTGGACAGACCTAAGATATGTTGGAATCAGAAGCGGCAATTATGATCCCTGTTTTTAATGTAGGCTAGTTGAATAAAATAATTAGCCAACCCGAAGCTTTAATCAAATAATAGATTACTAATATTGTTCATAATTCTTAATGCTTAAGTTGCAAAGGATGTTCAAGTTAATTAAGTTTTGATTTAGTTGATATCATTATTAATATGATAAATTACATTCATGAATATTTAAATATAGATATATTTTATTTTGACTATTTTAATGTTATCAATCTTTTTAATAGAATCATTTAACTATTTTAATGTTATCAATCAAGTCGTATGGTGTCAACATTTGACAATACACACTTTACGAACATAGTTACTCGAACTTAAAATCTCTAAGAATAATATCACTCTCTTTAACTATAGAGATAATTAATGATTTTTAAATAAAAATAATAATAAAAAACTAAAATGGGAATTCCAATAAGAAACTCAAAGCGACAAAACTTAGCACTACGGAAGATTAGTGCCTACCAAGGCTCCACCATTACCGATGTAAAATAATCTCGAACTACTTTAATGTTAGAAATTAAATACAAAAACAAATCTTTGATAAAATTGACAAGAGACACATAAAGTGTCATACACGTGTATCGGGATCAAATAATTAATTAATTTCAATATTGGCAACATAGCATTATCATATCTTAATCATATACATATATATTTGCTTGAAAACTTAAAATTTATCATTTATCAAATTATACATAACTTCTTCAAGCAACATTTTTTCATCTTTAACATTTTTTAATTATAATGCGTTATCAGATTAATAATTAAAATGTATTTAAACTCAAAATTAATAATCGAATTTGCATAAAAAAATATAATCAATTTGAATATAATAAGAGTGTGTACTTTATGTAACGCGTTGGCGAACTGATGGGCATGAACTCGTGGGAAATTATTGATATTTTTAGACCCAAAAGCAAAGGCTACTCGTGTTTGGGCTAAGCAGTATTTAGACACATGCAAAACATGAATTAATTATTTAGTATATTTACAGCACGTCAATCATATGTTTAAACTGTGAAATACTTGGTTAACAAGATACATAGGGATGCAAATAAAAATGTCATGGAAAATCAATGAATTTTTTATCCAAAAGCAAAGGACACGTGCAAAACATGGATTAATAATTTAGTACATTTCCTAGAGTTAGTCACGCCGACTTAGAGTCGGTTAATAGAAGTACCTTGAGCGCTTCTCGTTTCTATTAAGAGTTTATTTTTAAATTTTCGCTCAAAATTTTAAAAATATTCGATACAATTTTTGAATAATGTGAAGTTTTATTAACAACATATTTAATATTGTCTCGCTCTTAAACGTCATCCAGAATTTGATATGAGAGGAGGGTTATAACTTTTTTTCTAAGCTGCTTGCTTTTTTCCTTCTATTTTTAGTTAGTAGGTGGAGACACCAACTTAAATGTTAGTTATTTTTGTCGATATTTTTTTATTTTTTATTACATTTACTTTCATTTTATTTCTAATAACTCTGCATTAATAAGATATTTTTATGCTTTCGTGATACAATTTTTTATTCTCTTTATAGATGTTAACGTCCAGTTTATATTGATGTTAATTTTTTAACAAAAAGGGATGAGTTATTCGGATGCCCAATTTGTAACTTTTAATAGTCGATGGACTCAACAAATTAGCCACTTATAATCGATGGATTATTTTGTAATTTTTATTAATCGGGAGACTCAACAAAACAATATCCTATAATCGGGAGCTATGGTAGTATACTTTGTTAAAAGAGTAAATTGAACTCTATAATTTGATGGCTTAATTGATCCTTTGTTATCGTAAGATCAAGTGTGCCATTTTTTGACTCAAATCTACTCCCAACTCAACCACTTTTCTTTCCATACATTACAAAATTTAATTGGGATTTCTTTTCGCATATCAGTTTTAATATATCATTAGTTTAATGAAATTATTAATAAGGTTTGAATCTTTATAATTTTATTAAGATATTTAACATGTTAGTTATGTGTCGTATACTAAACCATCTTTCATTGATTGCACTATATATCCCCAAATCATGACACATTATAAATTGATACTAAAACGTTTGAACATTTTAAATTCATCCCAAACTATGGTTTTCATTTTAAATTGGTCTTCAAACATTTAAAATTTCTAAATTCATCTCCAAACTATGAACCTAATTTCATATTAATCCTCGAACTTTTGAATATTCTAATTTTATCCCCAAACTTTTGAATGATTTGGGGGGACATTATTGGAAAGCTTGGAGACCAATTTAGAATGAGGGTTATAGTTTAAGGATGAATTTAGAATGTTCAAAAGTTTAGGGATCAATTTATAATGTGAATCATAATTTAGGGATGGAATTAAAATATTAAAAATTTGGGGGTCAATTAACAATGTGAATTATAATTTAAGAATGAAATTATAATATTTAAAATTTTAAGAACCAATTTAGAACGAAAATTCTAATTTTGAGATGTATAGTGCAATTTATTTTGATTCAAAAGTAAATGAAATTTAAAATCCGAGGCAAAATGAAGGCTTAGAAGATTTAATTACGAGGTTGGAGTAATATATATTATGAAAATGTTTTCATTGCATGATGGATGATTCTTAACAGCAACATCAGAATTTGTTAAAAATAGAGACTAGAATATAGTATACAAGAGTCAAAACTATTGCAGCCATGGCCTGCTGGATAAGTGAAATAGTGTTCCCCTTTTGTGGATCAACCCTGGCAGTGATGGTTGCGGCGGCCGCCGCTATGTTTGGAGGAGAGTAAAGGAAAGCCATTGAGATGTAATCTTCTTTCTCTCCTTTATAAATGGGCCTCCCAATTACATGCTTGAATTGCCCCCCACTTAATGCCTGCACCAGTAGGAGCAAGAAATGTAAGAAATAATGAGTTTTACTTGAAATCCCCCTACATCATGAGATCAGACCCACATAGCTGTCATTGTTGATGTGTTTGGCACCACCATTTTCATAACAGGTTTTCGATGGGAAACTTTGCCTGATGATTCCCAGAATTTTCTGAGTCACTTTCTCAATGTCAGACAGTAAAGTCTCCATCTTGTCACTGAATTTTGAAAAAAAGAGTCAAAGAATTAGACAATTAAAGAGCACCAAATGATGAACATTTTTACCTGAAATTTGAGTACCCAACAGGCCAAATTCTCACCATTGCCACAAGCCTTCACCTTACACCATACAAACTCTTCAACTTCATCATCTTCTTCTCTATGAGCTTCCTCGAATCCGTATAGCTTCTCCGGTGACCGTGGTTCGTTTCGAAACAAGGTGTACGATTGACAAAAACTGTACGTGGCGTATGATTGCAAAGAGGATAAAAGATTGCGCAATGTTTCAAGTTAGGACCTTTATTGATAACATACATGTTCAAACCCAAGTTTTTCCTCACCATAGACAGGCAAACAAAAAAGTGTTGGGTGGTTTTCTGGCTGAGTTAATGTTTTTGAATGACAGGGTATATCGGGGACATGAAATTATGACTGACATGAATGCTCGGTTCAAGATTAGTATATCATATTCTCAAGCTTGGAGAGCCAAATGTTATGCCTTGGAATTGTTGAGGGGGTCGCCAGAAGCATCGTTTGCCCAACTGCCGGCTTATTGTCATAATTTAAAGCTGAAAAATCCTGGTCGGTAACATATCAAACAGATAGAGATGGACGCTTTGAGTTGCTGTTATCGCCATTGGTACTGCGGTTAGTAAATCATATAATTCTGTTGACTCATTTCTGTTAGTTACATGCATTTAAAATTTAAATGATTATATTTCTTGTGTATATTATTTTGTAGATTCGTTCGTTTATTACTTGCATGCGCCCAGTTATTATAGTTGACGGAGCACATTTGAAAGGTCGATACCTTGGAGTAAACTTATTAGCAGTAAACTCAATTGACAACGCTGTTAGAAGGTGTTCCCAGATGCTTTTCATGGACTTTGTGGTGTTCATTTGTATAGAAATCTAAAATCAAGGTCTGCTGGTATAAAAAAGCACAAATGGACTACTGGAAGGCTGTTAAAGGCTTATCGGGAAGTGGATTTCAATAAGCATATAAACTGTTTAAGACGTGTTTTGCCTCAGTGTGCTCAAACACTAGAAGATGTCGGGTTTGAAAGATGGTCAAGAGTACATCAACTTGGAGCAAGATAGGTTTCATGACGTCTAATAGTGCAGAATCAATTAACGCTCTAAGTCGTCATTTCCCCGGAAATTACCCATTACTATGTTAATGGAGTTTTTTCGAGCCTCTATTCAACAGTGGTACTACAAGAAAAGAACCATGCAGGTATTATTTCTTTGAATTTACAGGAACATTGGTATATATTTTACTAAGTATTATTTATTTAAATTTACAGGAACATTGGAACAAGTGTACACCATGGACTGAAAAAAAGATAACGAACGTGTTGTGAAGTCAACGTCATGGAGAGTTGAACCATGTTCAAAACACTTTGTTTGAAGTACTGGATAATAACTTAAATGGCTTGTCGATCTAAATGCAGGACGTGCAGTTGTATGAAATGGCAAACATCTGGTTATCTATGTGGTCATGTTATAAAAGTGCTCTTCATCTAAACCAAGATGATTCAAGCACATACCTATGGATTGCTACACTACAGAAGTATATCGACAGACTTATGCCGAGATTGTCTACCCTATTTCACATCCTTCTGAGTGGGACATACCATATGACTTACAAACAGTTTTGCCACCAACCATGGACAGAAGGCTACCTGGCCGACCAAAAAGTCACGATCGTATACCGTCTAAGGGTGAGAGAATAAGAGATCGACATGTAGTGCAAGGAAAGTGGTCATACAAGGTGACATGTGGATCACCAGTGCCATCACAATATCTTTTCCTCTACCAAAATATGGATCATCATCAAAATCCAAAGCTCATATGGTGTCAAGAAAAAGGCAATCAAAAATCGCAATCATCTTTAAAATCCCAATCATAACTGGCTTCACCTTTTGGGTCTGTTAACTTAGGTGATTTTTAAATGCAAACGTTGTATTATGTAGATTTTATGTGTGACTTTTAACATTTTCAGTTAGGCATGTATTAGTAACTTGAGTTTGAAAATTGATATGATCTGTTCCAGTTGTTATCACTAATAGGCAATCATCTTAATGTCCATCGCAACGCGGAAATTACTATCGCAATGCGAAATGAAAATCGCAACGAGAGAATCGCAATGCGAAATGAAAATCGCAACGAGGGAATCGCAAATGCGAAATGAAAATCGCAACGAGGGAATCGCAATGCGAAATGAAAATCGCAACGCGAATTTAATTTCGCGTTGCGATTTTCATTTTCGCGTTGCGATTCTCTCGTTGCGATTTTCATTTCGCATTGCGATAGTACTTTTTGCCTTCAACATAATGCATATTGAAATCAACAAAATCAACCATACATTTCAATCAATAAACAAGCACAATAAGAATTATGTTAACATCAATTAAACAAATCAACTTTTACAAATCACCTTTTACAAATCAATTAAACAATCAAAAATAAGCAATAATTATTAGAGAAAATAACACTTCTACTATTGAATCAACTTTTGCAGCCATACATCATTTTCACGCAGCTCACTTCTGAGATTAACTGCATAACCAAACATTTGCTCAAACACACACTTTCTACACATCTAAAACCTACAAACAGCAAATTATTGAATTCTAGGTACTTAACCAAAACATTTTCAAACCACAAGCCTATAAACATACCAATTGTATACAATCGATCTAGCAATATAATGTCGAAACCACAAGCCTACTGCAGCTCTATCTATATCGGTGGGAGGTAGATACTTTATACTTCCTGTGATCAAACGGTCCAACGCCAAGCATCGAGAGGACCCAATCCCTCTGGGTCCTTTCGTTTGTTGTGGTGCGGTCTCGTCTCTGCTAACTGTAATATTGAGCTTCTTGTTTCCAGAACGAGTCCAATAATTTATCGCATCCAAGTATTTAGCCAAATAAGAGCTCCATCCCTTAATAATATCTCTTAAATCAGCCATGATATGTAATTTATCATGCTGTCATATACTATTGCCTTAAGGGATGGGATCTGAAGCTCGACGAGAAGCCAATGGTTACGTTCCAAAACAGGGTAAACACCTGCAATCATAAGTAATAATTCATTTATTTGCGCACTTATTTATGAACACCTTTAAAAAATTTAAAAAATAAACACTAACCTTATCGACCTCCCACCATGCAGGATAAAGTTTAGCTTGTCCATTGCCCAACGCAAATGATTCATCTCGTTGATTCTTCAAGTGAACTGCGTTAAAAGTCGTCGGCATTATTGTATACCGTGTATTTCTTTTATTTTCCTTAAGTTTCCTAATTATTAGTAGACGTGACACCCACGCATCGATATGCTGTTTTACAAAAAAATACATATATTAGTGAATTACATTAATTTTTAAACAAATTAATCAAATGAAAATATAAAAAAAATATAAGACTTACCCCTCTATCGAAATAGTCATTGTCTTCGACCCCTAATAATACGCCCCACCAAGACCGATCAAGCAACAAATAGATATCATCATTGAGCTTGCATATGTCAGTGAAACACCCCTGGCTTCGCTCGTGTAGATAAAAATCAACTGCGGTCTTAACCCAAAGGGTGTTATCCAGAATTGTGTCCGGTAGTTGTTTCCTCTCCTCTTCAGATACCGGTATGGTACTGGCCGGTAACTCATACGAGAGCCAACTTGAATCCATCATGTCCGGCACGTCAGAGGGTTTCTCAAGAATCCTACATATGACGCCATGCGAGTCGGGCTTCTTCTTGCGGTGTCTTCGCACTATTGGGGTATACGGAGACTTAATAGCACGTGCACGCCGTCTGATATACCAAAAAAACAATAAACATACCAAGTTAGATATACCAAAAATTACACTATCAAGATATACCAAAAACAAAACAATAAACATAAATAGTAGTTTATTCTTGAAACTAAAATTTGCAACAATGTTTCTGTCTTTTGGTTGAAATGAAAATCGCAACGAGATAATGAGAATCGCAACGCGGAAATGACTATCGCAACGAGAGAATCGCAACGCGAAATGACTATCGCGACCAGACAATCGCAACGCGAAATGAAAATCGCAACCGCGAAATTAAAATCGCAACGCGAAATGAAAATCGCAACGCGAAATGAAAATCGCAATGCGCTTTTGGTTTCGCGTTGCGATTATCTCGTTGCGATAGTCATTTCCGCGTTGCGATTCTCATTCTCGAAACTATTCTTTTTCTGCATTACTTCAACCAAAAGACAAAGCAAAGACAAATACTAACTTCACAGGCTAAACAGTTTAGCAGTATTGGCAGCAATCGAATGAATTTAATAAGAAATCTAAGTGAAATGGTTAATCTATTATTGAAATTACCAGTAAACTTATCATCAATCTCAATATGAAAAACCTAAAATAATGCAAAAATTTCAAAATAAAAATAAAAAAAACTAACCCTCGGATGTTGATTTTCCATTTCTGAATGATTGTGAGGGATTTTTGACTGTGAATGGTTGTGAGGGATTTCGCCGGCGATGGGGACGGATTTCGCCGTAGAGAGTGAGAGATGGAGATGGGACTGAGTGTTGTGTTTTTGGGTTTGAGGTTATGAGTTGCGATTACTGTGGACGGTTCATTTTCCGATTTATTAAGAAAAAATACGTGTTTGGAATTTGAAAAAAAAATACGCGTTAATACGAATGTCGCTAAGTAAATCGCGTTGCGAAAGTCAGTATCGTGTTGCGAAAGTAAGTATCTCGTTGCGATTTTTTATTATCGCATTGCGATAGTCAGTATCGCATTGCGATTTTCCTAATTCGCGTTGCGATTTACTTATTCGCATTGCGAATTTCCCAATTCGCGTTGCGATTTACTTATTCGCATTGCGAATTGGGAAAATCGCAACGATACTGTAGACCATCGCAACGCGATTTTCAACTATCGCATTGCGAAAATGCAACGCGAATTTGCGATAATGGAGATCGCGTTGCGAATTAGCGATCGCATTGCGATTTTGTTGGTCATTTTGGCAAATCCGAAAAAAGTTGGTTAAAATCGTATATTATATGGGATTTTTGGTCACTGAGATTATTTTCTCTATTTTAAAATGTACAAAGGATAATTATAATACTATATAAGGTCAGATTAAATTTTTTACCTTAAACTATATTCTTTTTTTATAAGAAAAAACTGACCTGACACGAATTATGGTTGTTAGCGAGTAGTACTAGTACTCATGTCTGATGGCATTGTGGGCCTGTAAAAGGAAGGGGATCCAACATTTTAGGCCAGCTTGTCCTTAATTTTAGAGTTAAAATAAGGTTTGCTTTAGGTTGAGACCCTAATCATTATGATTTAAATGAGTATTGGCCCCACCGTCGTACTTTTAACTGGGCACCTGGTATATTTAGAGCCCAATTGTTGTGGTGGATGGGATGTATCGGGTACGATAATTTTAATAGACAGTTATGGAAAGATTCTAATAGAAATGTTAATATTTTTTAATATTTTTGATAAAATTCTATCTAAAATATTATTTTTTACTAAAAATGTTAATATTGAAAGTTACCTAAAATATTTAACATTTCTTGTAAAGTGCTACCTAAATAATATTTTTCTACCAGAAATATTAATATTGGGTTCTACTGAAAATTAGTTAACAAAATTAATATGTTTGATAAAAAATTATTTTAGATACCATTTTACCAAAAATATTAAAATAATATTAACATTTTAGATATAATATTTTTTTAATTATATATTAATACTGTCGTAAAACTTAACTACCAATAGAAAAATGGCATCAAACAAATCAAATCTGTCAAAATATCAGCAATTATACTTTCTTTCTGGAAGATCATTCTGTATAGTGTGCATTTAGAAAACGTTACCGACACAATTAAAACGCTTCTCTCCATTTTACCATAAAATATTCTCTCCTTCCTATTTTTCAACGCCATCTATTTCTAGATGCTTGCATTCCTTGTTTCAATACATACACTCATCTAATAAAATGAGTCTTGAACGGGATTAAAAAGTTGTTTTCTTTCCGTTATTAGTTGACTTCATCGAATGAAGTATTAGATTTTTGGCGTAGAATTAAAAGTTTAATTTTAATATTATAAACAAAACAAATTAAATTAAAAAGATATCTATATAATAAAATTTTATTATATAATCTAAATCGATTGATTAATAATCTCCCCTCGACGACAGGAGAGCGGATCATTTTTCTCCGGAAGAACAACTTTTTAATCTTTTTTTTCATATTCATTCTGTATTTTCAATATGGTGTTTAAAGTATGAAGTCATTGCTTATCTCTGGGTGTTGAAATTTGAACACCCTCCAAGAAAAAAAATCTTTACTCTTTTTTACTGTAGCTGATGTGGTATTTTTAATTGTTTGGATAAAGCCAAACTGTTTTCATTTATAGGGTTTAGAGTTAGGTTTTGGTTCCTAATTTTTTAATGTTTATTAAAGCAATTAATATAATTATTTAACCATCATCAAATCAACAGCGCGTGATGGAGAATTTGATTTCATGTTATTAATTTAATGATAAATATTCGATATCCTTTATTAAATAGGATAAATCAAAATCTAATTTTTTTCATGCCTTCTCCTAGTCCTTTAATTAACCATCTAGTCCTTAGTCTAAGGTTAGTCTATTTAAGTTTTTTCATCGACTGTTGGATTGAACATTGTTGGGTATAATAATATTATTATTGTAGCATCTAATTAATCGTAAATTTGAATATATTTAAATATAATTATCTTAAATTTATTGAGTGATTTTAATAATAAAAGAAGTGTTGTTCTTTTGTAAAAAAAATTATGGTTCGAACAGTTATATTTGTGAAGTGTACTTATGTTGTTAATAATTAAGAAAAATGTTGAATAAATATATCTTATGATCAGCTCAAACTATTAAAAAATGAGAGTTAGTAATAATTTATTATATATAAAAGTTTATCTATCGAGGCAATTTGAATTGTTTCATGGCTCCCTATTTCTCTTCTTTGTGGTGTTTTAGCGTAAAGAAGGGTTACATACTATCGTTAGAATATTCTATCATTTAAAAATAAATAGTTAAGGATAAACAATCATAATTTTTTATCTTTTGTTTTATATGATTTTAATTGGTAAAATAGTATATTTAACTCTAATATTATCAATTTAATTTTAATTATAAAAGAATCAACTCAAAATTTACACATTATGTAATGTAAATGCTTAAAGTTAAATTTATTTATTTTCTAAAAAGTTAAAGTTAAAGTTATATAATATATAATTATTGAAAGTTAATTTTATAATAATGTCAAAAGTCATGCTAAATTGAAAAAAAACTAATATCATAATTAATTATCCTTAATTTTATAAAATTGTTATTTTTCCTTAATTGTTCATTCTATAATATATTTCATTTTTATGTTATCTGACTATATCTGATAATTGAAACTGTTGGATTCCAAGAATTATAAATTATAAATTTTACAAAGTTAATCATAATTAAATAAAAAATTATTTATAGAATAATTTGGTGGATTAAAAATAAATTGTGATGATGATTCTATAATACATGACTGAATTGTGAAAACTTCTAAATAAAAACTTGAAAACAGTGTTGATAAAATAATGGATATAATCCGACCCACTAAAATTCTTAAATCAAATTAAATACTACCTTATCTGTTTATTTAAGAAAAAAAACAAACAAATAAATAAAAATAGTTGCAAAAGAATGGTCAAGTTTGGCGAGTAGAATCAAACACGTGATGAGTTATTATGATTTATGAATATGATTAATTATTTATTGAAACGATGTATTATATATATAAAATAAGAAAAATAATATAAATGGAGGATGGAACATAAATGATCGATGCGTCAACATTGACTTGGACTTTTTATCCAGTGCACGGGTTCCACAACAGAATGGCACGGACGTTATTTCGCCGAACTTTCGATATTATTTTTTTAGGGGATTTTTTTATATTTAAATAATATTTTAATGAACTCATAATATAAGGGGAATATCGATGCGTGAACTTTTGAATAATCAGTCAGGATTGACTTGCTTAATAAAAAATAAGATATTAGATTTTTTAAATAAAATTACGAGTTCAAATCATGACGTTTATGAATGAAATAAATTAGGTTGGAAGGATCGTTCTTATAATGAATCTTTACAAAACATAATCTAGATTGATCATTTAATAGATTAAATATCGATAATTAAAAAAATAAGTATTTTGATCTAATAGGAGACAATCACATGATAAAAATTAATAATAAGACAATTTTAATTTTTGACGATAGCTAAAATGATTAACAAAATGAAGATAGACTTTCAAACTGATTAAAAAATAATAACAAATTTAAAAGGGATAACTTTTAATATAATGAGACTAAAATATATTAAAAATATATAAAATATTCTTAGAGAAACTTAGAAAAGTTTTTTTAAAGTGAGACTTAGAGAACACAATCAACGGATTATCGAAATAACTTGTAACATTTTATATAAAGTTAAAAATCTTTAGGAAATATTGTTGAATTCGTTGCTTTGTACTCCATTAATGAGGTAACTTGGTTCAACGACCGGCAGGGAATTCCGCTACATGTTCTCCAAGAATCAAAGACCAAGGACCCTGCTAACCTTTTTAATAATATATATTTTTATAAACCTTAATAATATGATTAATTTTTTATTTCTAAATTATAATTAGTAGACATTGTCAAAATAAATTAATATCAACATTATTATATAATTTTTATCCCTTTCTTCGAATAGCAAGCCAATTTGTGGACGGCTATTTTTGTTTCCATCTTCTTCTTCCTTCACGCTGACAACTGGCGTCAATGCACACTGTTCCTAAATAGTTTAAGAGTTACAGTGTTTGGTCAAATTATGTTGCGGGTTCAAAGGTTAGCAGAAGTAAAAACGTGGGGATAAACTTTTCAAAAGAGAGAGATTGAAAGGAAAAAAGTCAAAGAAAATTCCAAAATCTAGAAGGGTATGAAAGAAAATAAGAAAGAGCCTGTAATTGTTTATTCCATGGAAAGTAAGAAGCAACAAGTAGTAGCGTAGAAACAAACACTGCTTGGTCATGTCTGCCATGCCACTCTTGACCCTTGAAATATCTCATGGACAAACTATTCCTCTTTTTAAAAGTCATTAGAACTTGGTACAATTCTCTCCATTGGTTTATTTTATTATATTCCTTTCAAATTACAACTAAATCTGCTTGTTTCTTCTTTATGGTATTCAAAGGTGCTCTTACTTAATATTTTTAGTAAAATAGAAAAGGAACAATTCTTTCAGATACCATTAAGTTCCAGTGTTTATATTAAATTTCATTACTGGGTTTTGAATTGATTCAATTGCAGCATTCAACTTTAGTTTTGTTTTCAATGTGACAACGTGGCTCGAATGATGTCATTTTTGTGTTGCCATATGAACCTTTTAATTTGTATATTGATTTTATCATTGAATTTTAAAACATTTTATTTTTGGACACTAAATTATTCAGCTCCTATTGGAGGTCAATCACTACCTATCACCGGTCGTTATTTGTGACAAGACCATTATCAGAACGTTCTTATTTCACCTTTTTTTTATTAGATTACTTTTTCAAAAAATTCACTCAAAATGGATAAAAATTCATATAAAACATTGATGAGCTAATATTATTCGATGAGGCTTAAGATATATTGTTCGTCTCCTCTAAATAATATTTCCCAGGTCTTACCATTTTGATTTTTAAACAAACGCCCTAAATTCCTCAAATCTAAGAAAATTCTCAAACCAAAATAAGGATGATTTTTTTAAATTTAATTTTATGAGCTTTAGAGAGATTTTGAGAAAATATAAACTAGCAAAGTGGTAGATAAATATGAGATGAGTTTATCAATGTCTAAGTTGACCGCAAAAGACGTTGGAGAGTGATGGTTTTTTACGATAGCTAAAAAAATAGATGAAAAAACTCCAACTTTAATAAAAAAAATAAGATGGCGTGGAATAAAGAATTAATTATTTAAATTCTACATCGGTACTATATCAACATTCCACTACTCATGGATTAATAATTTAATGGTATAACTGAATTAAAAATCAAAGTTCAATGGTAGAATCATATCAATTTAAAGTTTAGGGTAAACGCAATACAAAACTAAAGTTTAGTGGTATATGTAGCAATTACCCAAAAATAAAACGAAAGTTCGGATTCGGTGCACGGCTGTTGACAGAACTGATATATTTACTGCAATTAATTATGGTAATGCAATTAATTAATCTGTAAAGTCTTAAATAAATAGCAACACAACCGGTCCAATATGAATTCCAAGGCACCAACCGCAATTGACTTTCAATGAATCAGACATATTAAGATGCCTATCATATTTGAACAACCTATTTATTTATTTATTTATTTTCTTTGTCTCTTACTTGCATGTGTATATATTCTTTCGCTCATTCTTCAACCTTGAACTTGCACTTCCTCCATTTCTCTAGCAAAAATTTCGGAGGACGAAAGCAAAGATTAATTTTTTTCTGTATTTAAACATTCTTTATTCTTTTTTTTCTTCTGAAGATCGAGAAACATGGAGGGTTTAGAGAGAGCTCGGAATCCGAGCAAGAGAACAGGGCATAGTAGCATCGGAAGGAGCCTCAGCAGGAGTAGCTGGAACATGGAAGATGTGTTTTCAGCCGGTTCGAGACGGAGTAGTCGCGTCGACGACGACGAGGAAGCTCTAAAATGGGCTGCTATCGAGAAATTACCCACGTACGATCGCCTCCGAACCAGCATCATGCAGTCCTTCGTGGACAATGAAATCATTGGGAACAAGATGGAGCATAGAGCAGTTGATGTTAGAAGCCTTGACATAAATGACAGACAAAAATTCATTGACATGCTCTTCAAGGTTGCCGAGGAAGATAATGAAAAGTTCTTGAAGAAGTTCAGAAACAGGATCGATAAGTATGTTTTACATCTTCCCATCACCATTTACGCATATTTTTCTTCGTAATTATAGCATGTTACGTAATGACATGTATGATTTTAATGATGTTGTAAATGTTTTATCTTAATAACTCTGTTTTCTTGGGATCACAGGGTTGGGATTCAACTTCCGACGGTAGAAGTTAGGTTCCAGAACCTGACGATAGAAGCCGACTGTTTCATCGGCAGTCGAGCTCTTCCGACACTTCCAAATGCTGCCTTGAACCTTGTAGAATCGGCTCTCGGCTTGTTCGGAATCAGATTTGCCAAGCGAACAAATCTCACCATCCTCAAAGATGCTTCTGGGATTATTAGACCATCAAGGTACATATAGTAATCTAAGGCATACACCATTTAACTTTACGTTATTTTTATTAATCTATACATCTTCTTTTGTAGGATGACACTCTTGCTAGGCCCACCTTCTTCTGGGAAAACAACTCTTTTGCTTGCCATGGCTGACAAGTTGGACAAAAGTTTAAGGGTTAGTTACAATCAAAGATTGAATATTACTTATATTCGTTTCCTGTTCATATTATGATTATAAACGTCGTATTCGTTCCGTTGATGTGCAAAACAGGTTAGAGGAGAAGTAACATACAATGGATATAAACTACAAGAATTTGTTGCTAGAAAGACATCTGCATATATCAGTCAAAATGATGTTCATGTTGGAGAAATGACAGTGAAAGAAACATTTGATTTCTCGGCAAGATGTCAGGGTGTCGGAACTCGATACGGTGAGAACAATATGTTTACCACAATTTGTTCATAAGTAAGTAGCAGGATTTATGTTTTGTTCTGATGATTTACCGAAAATTGTTGTTCTTTTGTAGATCTGTTAAGTGAGCTAGCTAGAAGGGAAAAGGATGCAGGGATTTTACCAGAAGCTGATGTAGACCTTTTCATGAAGGTATTAAACAAATGTCGTAAATCTGAAAATCCTACATTCAAATTTGTAAATTTGTTAAAACTTCATAATTTTTCACCTCTGGTTTTGAACATTGAATTTTCCAGGCAACTTCAGTGCACGGAGTTGAAAGCAGCCTTATTACTGATTACACACTCAAAGTAAGTAAATTTATTACGCGATATATAAAATTATACACCGTCGCATCGAATATTAACCGATGTAAAATTCTGAAAACAAAAGATTGATTACATTTTCTAATGTCACACTGTTCCCTGTTGTTGAATTGGTCAGATATTGGGGCTTGACATATGCAAGGATATCATTGTTGGAGATGATATGCACCGTGGAATTTCTGGAGGTCAAAAGAAAAGAGTAACTACCGGGGAGATGATTGTTGGCCCGACCAAGACACTTTTCATGGATGAAATATCGACCGGTCTCGATAGTTCAACAACATACCAGATAGTGAAGTGCTTGCAGCAGATTGTGCACCTAACAGAGGGCACGATTTTAATGTCCTTGCTGCAGCCTGCTCCGGAGACTTTCGATCTCTTTGATGATATCATCCTCTTATCTGAGGGACAGATCGTGTATCAGGGTCCACGAGAGCACGTCGTTGAGTTTTTTGAGAGCTGTGGTTTCAAATGTCCTGAGAGGAAAGGAACTGCTGACTTTTTGCAAGAGGTAAAACCTTAAACCGTAACCGTTGCGGATAGTTTTGAGTTTTTTTTACTCTTTAGTGATATCAAATTGTGACAAATTGTGAAACATAAGGTGACAAGTTAGTGAAACTGTGACAGGTTACCTCAAAGAAGGACCAAGAGCAATACTGGGCAGATAAGAGGAAGCCATACAGATACATTACAGTAACTGAATTTGCAAGCAGGTTCAAGCGCTTCCACGTTGGAATGCAGCTAGAGAGTGAGCTCGCCGTTCCTTTCGACAAGTCAAGAGCTCACAGAGCTGCATTGGCCTTCCAAAAATACTCAGTCTCCAAAATGGAGCTTCTTAAGACCTGTTGGGACAAAGAATGGCTACTGATCAAGAGGAATTCTTTTATTTATGTCTTCAAGACAGTCCAAATTGTCATTGTGGCGATCATCGTGTCCACATTATTTTTGAGGACTGAAATGGACACTAGGAATATTGGAGATGCACAACTCTATGTTGGTGCACTTCTATTTGGAATGATCATCAACATGTTCAATGGTTTTGCTGAGCTCTCGCTCATGATCAGTAGGCTTCCAGTGTTCTACAAGCAAAGAGACCTTTTATTCCATCCTGTCTGGACTTTCACTCTGCCCACTTTTCTGCTTCGGGTTCCGATATCTATTTTGGAAACTGTCGCTTGGATGGTTGTAACATATTACACTATTGGATATGCACCAGCGGCCAGCAGGTAAATTGAATTGATGCCATTCATTTACATGTCGCTATACTGATCAGAGTCTTTTTTTAAATTTTTTAAAAAAAAATTCTTGAGCAACAAGTTAAAACAGCAGCTGATGAAATTAGTATCAACTTGCCAGGTTTTTCAAGAACTTCCTGCTGGTGTTTTTAGTACAACAAATGGCAGCCGGTCTCTTTCGGCTTATTGCTAGCATATGCAGATCAATGATGATAGCTAACACTGGCGGGACTCTTACTCTTCTACTCGTATTCATGCTCGGAGGTTTCATCGTTCCTAAAAGTAAGAATATAACCATAAAAAGCAAACCTTTGACATTAGAAAATTTCTTCAATTTGTTATGATACTAAATAGTTAACTAATATGTGGTACCTTATTTTGACAGATCAAATTCCAAGCTGGTGGGAGTGGGCCTACTGGATTTCACCTCTGACTTATGGTTTCAACGGTTTTACCGTGAACGAAATATTTGATTCGAGGTGGATGAACAAACCGGTATGTTATTCATCCGTGTGACACAAGTAAATGATTAACATTTTCATTTAAAATAGAAAGCAAGTAAACAAGCTGAAACTTTGTCCACCATGCAGGCTTCAGACGGTTCGCCGAACTTGGGGGAACAAGTGCTCCGAAGCTTTGATGTTCCGAACAATGAAAACTGGTATTGGATTGGTGCAGGCGCTCTTCTGGGCTTCACGGTGCTTTTCAACGTTCTGTTCACCTTCGCTCTTATGTACCTAAACCGTAAGTTTAAACATTTTGTTGGGCTAATGTGATCTCCTTCTTGCATGTGTTTATCATCTTGTAGGTAGCTAATCTTCTATGTTTTGTTTCTTGGCAATATAGCCCTTGGAAAGCCACAGGCTATAATTTCGGAGGAAACAGCACAAGAGCTGGAGGCTGAACACGAGGCTTCAAATGAAGAACCGAGGTTAATGAGGCCAGAATCAAGCAAAAATTCGATCTCCGCAGGCTCTAGCAATAAACGTAAGAAACATATCAAAATGGACTGTTTCAATTCTGTTTGCTCTTGTGTCTTAGTTATCAATATTAACCATAATGTTTGTTCATATCGAATGAAAACTTGCAGAAGAAATGGCGATCCGGAGAATGAGCAATCAAGCCAATTCCCATGGAATCAACAGGAACGATTCTTCGATTGATGTCGCCACTGGTGTTGCCCCGAAGAGAGGAATGGTTCTTCCCTTCACTCCTCTAGCAATGTCCTTCGACAATGTCGATTACTATGTTGATATGCCACCTGTAAGATCTCTTTTACACTACCTACAACTTTGTTTCTTCATGAATAAGCTTATTTTCCAAAATAAGCACTATAATTGTCACCAAAGACATGGTTTAAAAATCAAGCATTTAAACAGGAAATGAAGGCACAAGGAGTCGGAGAAGACAGGTTACAACTACTTCGAGGAGTAACAGGTGCATTCCGGCCCGGAGTGTTGACAGCATTGATGGGAGTCAGTGGAGCAGGCAAGACAACGTTGATGGATGTTTTAGCAGGAAGAAAAACCGGTGGATACATCGAGGGTGATATCAGAATATCCGGATTCCCTAAGAACCAAGAAACATTTGCAAGAATTTCTGGATACTGTGAACAAACTGATATTCACTCACCACAAGTTACCATCAGAGAATCCTTGATTTACTCAGCTTTCCTCCGACTTCCGAAAGAAATCAGCAACGAGGAAAAGATGGTAAGTGCTTTGATTTACACAACTGTAAGTGAAATCAAGCATGGCATTAACTATTTAATTCGTGCTCAAAACGTCATTTGTTGTTATCTTTCAGATTTTTGTGGATGAAGTGATGGAACTAGTAGAATTAAAGAGTCTCAAGGACGCCATAGTAGGGTTGCCTGGAGTCACAGGGTTGTCAACAGAGCAAAGAAAGAGATTGACAATTGCGGTAGAGCTTGTTGCTAATCCCTCCATCATTTTCATGGATGAACCGACATCTGGTCTTGACGCAAGGGCAGCAGCCATTGTCATGAGGACTGTCAGAAACACCGTGGACACCGGAAGAACGGTTGTCTGCACTATTCATCAGCCTAGTATTGATATCTTCGAAGCCTTTGACGAGTTGTTACTGATGAAGAGAGGAGGTCAGGTGATTTACGCAGGACCTTTAGGCCGGAATTCTCAGAAGATCATCGAATATTTCGAGGTATGAAACTATAACAAGATTTCCCATATTCTCAGAAGAAAACATTATATAATTCGCTTCATATTCAATTGCAGTCTATTTCTGGAGTTCCCAGAATTAAGGATAAGTACAATCCAGCTACATGGATGCTAGAAGTAAGCTCTATAGCTGCTGAAGCTAGGCTTGGAATTGATTTTGCGGATCACTATAAATCATCTTCCCTGTACCAGTAAGTCGAGATATTAATGATACCGATGCGATCTTAGTTGTTTACATTTTAATTTCTTGGTTTTGAGCTAATACATGTATCTATGAGCAGGAGAAACAAGACCTTGGTAAATGAGTTAAGCACACCACCACTAGGAGCTAAAGACCTCTATTTTGCCACTCAGTACTCACAAAATTCATGGGGTCAGTTCAAATCATGCTTTTGGAAACAATGGCTGACTTATTGGAGAAGTCCAGATTATAACCTAGTCAGATACTGCTTCACGTTGATCGCTGCGCTCTTGGTCGGTTCTATTTTCTGGCAAGTCGGCACTCAAAAGTCCAGCTCAACTGATCTTTCAATGATAATCGGGGCAATGTATGCTGCAGTCATATTTGTTGGAATTAATAACTGCTCAACAGTACAGCCGGTAATAGCCATCGAAAGAACGGTGTTTTATCGTGAAAGAGCTGCTGGGATGTACTCTGCATTACCTTATGCCCTCTCACAGGTGAGGATTCACTTGCATTTACTTTGATGCTACCTTATTATCTGAAAAGCCGATCGATTACTAAAATTTAATTACATGACATGCAGGTGTTTTGTGAAATACCTTACATATTTTTCCAAACAACATACTATACACTTATAGTGTATGCTATGGTGGGCTTTCAATGGACAGCAGCAAAGTTCTTCTGGTTTTTCTTTATCAACTTCTTCACCTACCTTTACTTCACATACTACGGAATGATGGTCGTTTCGATCACACCGAACCATCAAGTAGCAGCTATATTTGCCTCGGCTTTCTATTCAGTCTTCAATCTTTTCTCCGGTTTCTTCATTGCAAGACCGGTAAGTTTACTTCTTTCGCAAGTAACTATGTTTTTTAACCATTTCTTAATCATCCGCAACAGAAGCTGATACAAACTCATTACTTCATGAAATCTCAGAGTATTCCCGGTTGGTGGATTTGGTATTACTGGATTTGCCCCGTTGCATGGACCATCTACGGACTCATTGTGTCACAATACGGTGATATGGATGACCCCATTTTCGTACCCGGCGAACAAGGTAACCATACAATTAAATCGTACATCGAAGATCGATATGGGTTTGAGTCAGACTTCATGGGGCCGATTGCTGGAGTTCTGGTCGCCTTTGCCGCGTTCTTTGCTTTTATGTTTGCCTACTGCATAAGGACGCTCAATTTCCAGAACAGATAAACAGGATTCATGCAGGAAATTCTTCTTCAAGCCGCTATGTTTCATTTACAATCATAAACTGTGACCCTGTACATTCAAATACAATTTATTAATCATTTCGACGAATTTCAGATACTGTTTTGAACTTTATATTGCTTTTGCATAAGCATCGTATAGTCTAGATGATGACGAGGAGTTTAGTTTGCAAAAAGTTTAAAGAGCTTCACCTGGGAATGTAAAGTTTTGTTGATTGATGCATATTGATTATTTATCATCTTAAAGGAATAAACTATTTTTAAATTTATCTTTTATTTTTTGTGATGTTATTTGTAGATTAAAATCTATAACATTATTAATTGTTGCTGTTAATATACTGGTCCAAAATTTATAGTTAATGTTCATATGTTGACTCAAGTTATGATTAATCGAGCATCGAGTTTAATTAAGATTAGTGGATCGAGATTGAGTTTGATTTCATTAAGGATTGAACCTAAAATAAGTTTTAAAAAAAAGGAGATTTTTATGATAATGATCAGGGTTAGGGACTAAGGATAGTTGATCCTTAATAATCTAATTGGTAGAGAAGAAAACCTTAATTTATGGTAACACAATCAAATTTTTGTACTATGAATTGATAAAATCAGAGGAAAAGGAAAAACTCTCGAAGAGTTCTTTTTTAAGAAAAAAATATTTATTAAAGATGAAGGTTACATTGTGAGTGAGAGGTGCTCATCCATAAACTACTAAAACCCTAGAATTTGAATAGATTACATAGAAATATATTTAATATGAAAAGATAAATAAATTTTAATTTATCTAAAATTCATCTTAAAGAATCTTGTGTTGAATTTAATTGTAAATATTTAATAAAAAAAATGAAAATTCATAACAATTTTTTAAAATATATTGGAATCATATTCAATTTTGAGTTTTTGATTAAAACGATCATAATTTGAGTTTTTTTATTTTTAATTGAGACACTTCAAGTAATGGCAGAGCCGCATGTTGTTGAGGGTAACTACGTGCTCACTTTGAAATATGATTTTTCTTCGTTCGATTACTTATTTTAGATAGTTTTACTGTGTGACTGCTTAATTTAAAGTTAAAATACGTTGACTTTAGGGCGCAACAAAAAATGTGACAAAAATCTTAATATTTTAGGTCAATGACAACCTAAAATGTTAAATTTTTACTAACATTTTCGGTTAATGTTGCAAAGAAGATAATATTTTTTGTTGCCAACCGAAAATGTTAGTAAAATTTTAACATTTTAGGTTGCGTTCAACCTAAAATATTATAATTTTTATCACATTTTTTGTTGTACCCTAAATTTACCATTTTTAGCCTTAAATTAGATTGTCACTCCTTAGACTTCCTCAACTTATTTTAATGACAGTGTCCACCATAAAATTTAATTTGTGTTCACCTCATTCAAAAATTTATATTATTAACATATATGTGTCTCCGCTTAAAAGTATTTATGGATTCATCACTAATTTCAAAGTACAATAAAAATGTATCTAACAAACGATCAATTAAGAAGAAATATCTTAATGTATAAATATTTGAATACTATGAACGTATCATTTAGTTATAGGGTTGCTAGATTTAAAAAATGTCATCAATAATACGAATAAAGAGATTTCGGTAGTTAAAGAATTATTATTATTTTTTAAAATTTTAAATTTTAACATAATAAATATTAGAGTTATAAGTATTTAACATCAAATAATTAAAAATTATTTTAAAGAAATACTACATTATACTTATTTTGGATTAATAAAAAAATCATCATTAAAATACTATTGGTTAGTTAAAGTAAATATGGCTCAAGAGAAAACACGTGGTGGATGGTGGTGAAATGAGAAAGTTAAATCTTTTTTAGATCAAGAGCTGAAAAGTGAAACAATCCTTAGGCAACTGTTGCAGCTTGACTATGTTGGTTTGTTGACGTCATCATTCTTATTATTATAGTTTTTTTATGAACCAACAAATAATATTTAATTTTAGAAATATAAATTGTAGTAGCGATAAGCAATGTCGAATTCACATAAATTGAGTAAACTTATTTTAATGAAAATTAAAGCAAAGAAAATTAGTTTTGAAATTGAGAAAAATCAAAAGAAAAAACAATTATAATCAACCTAAAATTTAGATAAATTAATATTAAGTAAATATCAAACTAAATGTATAATTTCAAAATTAGTTTAGAGAATTGATCTTAAATACAATGATAAAATATTTTACTTTTCATTAAATTGATTATGGTTATTAACAAACTCTAACAATCTTAAGGAGATTTATATATAACTTTTCACTACCCAAAAGAAAGGGTCTCAGTATTATTATAGTGTTTTTAAATTATAATTAATATTTTTATTATTATATTTTTTTTTCTTTTCATACTCTATATATTTTATAAATGAAATAATTAAAAATCATATGTATAGAATTAAACTTGTATTTAAGGAGATTTATATATAGAGAAAATAACCTCAGTGATCGAAAATTTCTTATAATATACTATTTTGATCAACTTATTTTTGGATTTGCCAAAATGACCAACAAAATCGCAATGCGATCTCTAAATCGCAACGTGATCTCTAGCATCGCAAATCAGTTTCCAGATTCGCAACGCGATTTTGACTATCGCATTACGATTTTCCAAATTCGCGTTGCGATTTTAGAAAATCGCAATGAGAATATGTAAATCGTAACGCGATTCTGACTATCGCAACGCGATAATACAAAATCGCAATGCGATTTTCAAAGCGTCATTAGTATCGCAACACGTATTTTATTTTCAAATTCCAAACACGAATATTAATATATCCCATAATTGTAACTCTTAACCTAAAACCCTAAATCACAACTCAGTCTCATCTCCATCTCTCACTCTCTACGGCGACATCCGTCCCCATCTCCGACGAAATCTGTCCCCATCTCCGGCGAAATCCGTCTATCTCCATCTCTCAGAGCCACCACCACAATCTTTCACGATCAGAAATAGAAAATTAACCAAATCAACCACCGAGGGTTAGTTTTCTTAATTATTTTTATTTTGAAATTTTTGCATTATTATTAGGTTTTTCATATTGAAATTGATGATAAATTTACTGGTAATTTCAATAATAGATTAACCATTTCACTTAGATTGCTTATTAAATTCATTCGATTGCTGCCAATACTGCTAAACTGTTTAGTCTTTAACCCTGTAAAGTTAGTATTTGTCTTTGTTTTGTCTTTTGGTTGAAGTAATGCAATTCATTTAAGTTTCAATTTTAGACAATGACTATTTGAAATCGAGGATCGCAATGACAAAAACGCAACGCGATTTTAGTTTCTCGTTGCGATAGTCAAATTCGCGTTGCGATAGTCATTTTCGTGTTCGCGATTTTCATTTTCGTGTTGCGATTTTAAGTTTCAGAAACTATTCTTCTTCTGCAAATTGAAACTTGAATGAATTGCATTACTTCAACCAAAAAACAAAGACAAATACGAAATTCACAGTGTTGCAAATTTAAGTTTGAAGAATAAACAACTACTACTCTTTATGTTTATTATTGTTTTTGGTATATCTTCACAGTGTAGTTTTTGACATATCTAACTTGGTATGTTTATTGTTTTTGTAGAACTTTTTTTCGGCTCAATTGACCTTAAGGAATAAAATAAGCCTAGTCACTACAATTGCGTCGAAGTTTTCACCTGTACAAAGAAAATTGTTTGAGGATACTTGCTTCGGGCCATGGCTGAAAGTACAACATCCGGGTGAAGATGCTATGTTGACCCATTTGTAGCTTCAGACCATGACTAGCGATCTACCCGATAGTATAAAACGTGGTAATGAAGAGATATGGTTTCATTTTCCACCGTCGTATACGTGTTTTGGGCGTGAGAAGTTTTGCTTAATCACTGGTCTATGCTTCGGACACGATGATGTAGGTCGATACACTAGTCATATTACCCGCCCATCATGGTTATCCCGGGTTTTTCCTGAGCTGTCAATGGAGAAGCCGAATTTACACGTCGACGACTTGACAAGATTATTTAATAAGAAAGATGGTTTTACTCGGATGAATGACGTCGATGTTGTCCGGGTATGCCTTTTAGTACTTTTGCATGCCGGCTTTTTAGGCAGAGAGACCAGACAATCTATTCCTAAGGACCTAATATTATTGGTAGAGGACCTAATTGCATGGAACATGTTTCTGTGGGGTTCGTATCTATGGAAAGCTACCTGAAATAAGTTGTCGTCTGCCTTTGATGACTGCAAAAGTTTGCGTGGCGATGGTTCCAAATACACTTTGTCAGGCTTTATTTGGGCCTTTAAGGTAAGAATTTCTATATAATGTTTCCAAAATTATAATTAATTATTTAACAATTACTAATGTTTGTGTATTATATTGTTTGTAGATTTGGATATTTGAGGCTTTTCCCGACATGCAGACATATGCATTAAAAACTTCAAATGATATTCCTAGGGCTATTTCCTGGAAGAGGAAACGACGGCTGTTGATTTGGGAAGAGTTACTACGGTATACGACAATAAATGATGTAAGTTAACACAAATACTACCATATATAAACAAGTTATTACTAGTATACGTTTAACTTTGTTTGAGCTTTTATATTGTTAGGAGGCCAACACTCCATTACAGAGGCTGACACCCACGGAGGCTGAGCTTGCCACTTATTGGTGGCAAGCTAGTAAGCATTATTTTGATGGCACGGATGATGAGCAGCCTCTACTTCGAGAGCCATCACCTCACCCAGAGCCATCACCTGATCGACCACACTATACACCTCTACAACGAGAGCCATCACCTATTCTGTCACATCATCGAGCCTCTTCTTCACCATCACCTCATGATAGGCAACCGGTAAAGATGTCACGACATTTATCTCCCTGTTCTCCACCTCCACGGGATGAGTTAGGGGAGTTACGTGATGAGGTCAATGCCTTGCGTGAGGAGGTCGGTACTTTACGCGATGACAATGGTGTATGGCGTGATGAGGTATCTACTTTACGTGGTGAGGTAGCGACTCTACGTGAGATGATAGCATCGTTGCAGAATGAGGTTCATACTCTACGTAAAGAGGTAAGTTTAAGATTTTTCATATTTAACTTGATTTACTCGTAATTTCACTTAGATTAACCATTTCACTTAGATTGCTTAGTAAATTCATTCGGTTGCTGCCAACACTGCTAAACAGTTCTAAAATAACCCTGTGAAGTTAGTATTTGTCTTTGTTTTG